ACAAATGTCCATTTAGTGAAGAAAATGAGGATTCTTTTGGTCTACAGATGTTGATATAATCCTGGCCACAGTCAAGGAAAATTATGTTTTCAGTTTGGCCAAATAAGTACTTGCTGTAGACTACTATACTGTTCAAATCAAATAAGCCATTGTGAGTTCTAATAATTACATTTTCAAAAACACAAAATCCCACATACTCTATAGCTCTCAATTTTAGTTTTGAGAATCCAATTCTTCTCTCAACAGTGGAGTAGGTAACCACAGAAACTTGTGGAATCTGATTTCCTAGAAAACATGAAAAACAAGAGAAAAACAGTTCTGTCTGGCAACTGCTTCACAGTCTTCCTGTAAGCAGAGTGCTGGGCTGAGCAAGACACTCCTTAGAAGATGTTGGCACATCTGTGCCACCAAGATAGTAAAAAAACAGTGACTAAAGTGGTTCTGACCTTTCCACACTAGAAAGTAAAGTCATGCAATATCTTTACACATAGTCACTGAGATCATTGTATTTGGATCTAATAATACTTTTATGGACACATTTTCTTCTTACATTGTACAAAATCTTCCTACACTGTTCCTTTGACTATGCATTTCTCTTTAAAAAGACAAAATAAAGAAAGTGCACAGCAATAGATCAAATTGTGTTTTCCTTTTTAGATTGGATTTCTCTCATGTACCCAAATTTACTCATCCACTGTGCCTTTTAAAGAAATTTTTTCCTACAAATATTCCACTTAGTTTTCCCATTTATGAATTATCTACTTGAAGAATTCAATACTTGTATCATGTTATGCAGATAATTATGGTATATACTTTCTATTTCACCTGGTTCACAAGTCTTGATCTTTGTCTCCTCAGCTGAACTGTAAGCTCCTTGATTATAGAGCAGGTTTCAGAACCTCACATTCTCCTCTGCCATGTTAACACTGAGTTCACAGGTGTTTGCCATGAGCTCAACACTGAAACAGGAATGTGCACAAGCTATCCTAATTCACTGTCTCACTCTACACTGTGCACATGGATGTCATATAGCCAAAAAATAAAGCTTTTCAGACTGCTATACACTGGCCTTGGTTATAGAGCTTGAACAAGACTACTTGAGGGTTAACTCACACAGGGAGTAAATAGTAAATCTAGGGAGAAAGACCTAGAGTTCAAGACCAAACATATTTCACTCCTGTTGTAAGAAATGAAGAGTCATGAAGGAAACTTCCTCCAAGCAGATGAAGCTGTTTTAGAAAGCACAGCACAGCCTGCAGATCAGAGCTCTGAGTCAGGCTGAGTTATAAGTTTGTTAGATGACAAGAAACACAAGGAAATGAGTTTTAGAAAATCTTAATAAGATAGTATTTCTCAAGAACACACAAGTAAGAGGCTGGAGAGATGGCTCAATGATTAAATAAAAGTATTGGCTGATCTTCCAGAGGAACTGAATTTGACTACCAGAACCTACATGGCAGCTAACAACCATCCGTAAGCTCAATCCAAGAGGACTGGACACCTTCTGGCCGCAGTGGGTACTGCATGCACATGTTGCACAGACACACATGCAGGCAAAACACCCATATGCAAAATATAAATATAAAATTTTTAAAATTTGCCACCATTCAATCCAGGGAAGTGAAACTCTGTGGTCATACATATATATGAATGGTCATCACGGGTTCATTTGTAACAGTCCAAAACCACACACAATACAAGATATCCTTCAACAGATTAAAACATGTAGACAAAATATACCAGTTCTTCATAATCTAAAGAACACATATAAAACAAGGTCAATGGGCTCAAAAAGTACATTTATTTTAATATACTTACAGAGGGAGATGGACCCTTGATCACTTCTTTATTTATGAAAGTAGGTTTTGTTTGTTTGTTCGTTTGTTTGTTTGTTTTACCCTACTATGTGGCAGGTACTGGACTATGCACTAGGAACAGTACTTAACTAAAGTTGCAATTCTAGGAACTTTATGGAAAGTCTAGGCTTAGTAATTTTAAGAAGGACCTCAGGGTATTCCAAGAACCCTCATTTTACAGGGGAAAACTCCAGGCACAGCGAGATCAACTATAACTTGTTTCAGTCAATTATTGCAGCCATCTAGGGATGAAAGCAGGAGAAACAAGTTTCTTCTTCCTTTGCTTAGCACCAAAAATTGGTTTATTTATTAAGCAAGTATGTCTGTTAGTCTCCTCCATGCAAGACAGTATATGAGGCACCAAGTATACAAAGAATGTCAAGATACTGACACGAAACTTTTCTCAAAAATCTTGCAGCAAGAGAGTGGGGTAAGAAGGATGCCAGAAGCAGGGCAGATGAAAATAGCAAATGTGTCTGTCTCTGGCAGGACTCCAACACTGTCAGAGGAAAGGACAATCTAATGCTTAGTTCTGTGTTCACAATAACCCCATGAGGACATACACCGAGGTCTGATTAGTCCTAGCATGACAGTGCAGAATGCCTAACGGAGTCTATTAAGGAGTCACCAATGGCAACAGAAAACCTAGAAACCAAGTTGTTTACTCTAAGAGACAGGATTTTCACAGTTGATGAAAAGGCATATATTCTTTTCCTGTCAACTCATTCCTGACCAGTAGCACACATTTGTAGTTCTCTGGCAGGGTGGTGACATTGTGAAACCAAACATCACCATCCTGTGAGATGTCACCAGGTGAGTTTAGTTATCTGATTAAAAAAAAAAAAAAAAATTCAAGTCATCAGTTCCAGCATATACCAAACAAGAAGAATGAGCAAATACGTGCAGCAGAAGTGACACAACTAAATACATCTCCAAAGTAGAAGGCTTGCTGCAAATTTGAAGTGATAAAGGTTTTAGGGAGCAAATCCAATAAGACAGACTTTCCAGTTGGGAGAAAGCAGATTCTTGTATAAGGATGACCCTGACAAACCTTCTGATGACAAAAAATAAGTTCTTTTACCAAAAGAAACCATCGCACTGAAATAAAGAATCGATTTCCTACTTTCCCTCACTTCCCTTTCCATTACACTAAAACCATTCTGAAACTATTCCGCTTCCTTCTTCCTAGTAAAGTTATAATTCCCTACCCTTTCCCACTCAAAGAGAATCAATGTGCAGAAGGTATTTCCATCACTGTACCTGGTGAAACCATGTTTATCACTGTTATATTCTTCCACTTTCTTTCAACCTAAATGAAACAAATTCCATCATTTTCTCTAGTACACAGTCAGATCTGTATGCACATCCAAGAATGATTTCACAACTATAAGGAGAAATCAGTTATTTTTGCTCTTCCAAGACAAAGTTTCATGTAGCACAGGCTGGCCTCAAACTAGTTATGTAGCCCAGGGAGGCTCAACTCCAGATGCTCCTATATCTGCATTCTGAGTACTGGGGCTACAGGCTTGCATCCTCTCTGGCTCAGTTTATATCACTGGTAATCATGGTTTTATACACAGATTGAACTATATGGAGCTGCAGAATTATGACCCAAGTGTGCAAACTAAAGAGAAGCAGCACTAGTCATTTTAAACTACTCAATGGACAAACTACTTTAAGAAAAGCAAAAATTATCATCATCCTTCCAAACAAACAATGTTTTAGTTTTAAACTACAATTTGGATTTCAAAACCAAGAACTAGAGAAATGCCTCAGCCATTAAAAGCTGTTGCAGCTCAATCGTGAGACCCTGGGATCAGATGCCAGCACTCTCATCAGTTTTTCACAAACACCTGTAACTCCAGCTCCAAGAGACCTGATGCCCTCTTCTGGTCTCTGTGGGTACTGCATACATGTATACATATTCTCACATAGATACACACAGAGAAATTAAAACCAAAAAAAGAATAGTATTTTCATCAAATTCTTAGGCAATTCATAATTATACCCAATTACCTTTCTTTTAAAAATATGGTGAATTTTACAGGGTGATAAATAGCTTTTAAATTATAATTTAGAGTGACATGAAGTTTCACTGACAGCGTATCATATTTCATCACCTTTTTTTTTTGAGACATGGTTTCAGTCTGTAGTCCAGGCTAGCCTCAAATTCACAATTCTCCTATCTCAGCCACTCTAGCACTGGTATTACAGTGGTGTGCCACCATGTCACAGTGTCTAGCACACTGTTTTAATTCCTAAGACTTAGTTCTATCACAAGAAAATATATTCTATAAGCAATTAGCCTAAAACTTAAATTTGGAACGTAGCAACCTTTTTAGGTGAGAGGGAAAACTAGGCCTGGATTTACATCTAGATCCTCAAGAAAAAGACCATTTAGCCAACCAAACTGAATCCTAAAGGAGCAACTGAACACAAAACAACAGTGACACCTAGTGTCAGTAGTTAGGCAAGTATCGACTCCTCTGCAGTGTAAACAACTCCCTGAGTTAAAGCTTCTCTCTCTCTCTCCTTCAGAAACATGTACAACATGTGCAGAGCGTTTAAATCGTTCATTATCAAAAGCACGCACAGGCTCACCAAAGATACCATGTAAAGAGAGACATATCTGAAAGAGCAAACTCCAAAACGCCAAAAGTACAGGTTCTTCCAAGGGGTCGCGTCTCTAACTTCTCCACATACAAAGTATGAGGAAAAGGGAGTCAGGGACACACACTGAAGAGATACAAAGATGGTTGCATCTCTACCTGGACATGACAAGATTATGTGCTGAATAGTATTTTAAATACATCTAGAAAGATCACTCTAATTGGGGGCATTTCAGCAATACTTGACGAAGATAAGAAGTGCAGACAGAAGCCTTGCTTATGTATCCAGAGGCGGTCACCCTGCACCACTGCCCTACTGCCCTGCAGCCCTGCAGCCCTGCAGCCCTGCAGCCCTGCCCCACTCCTGCTGCTTCCTAAACCCACTTATTACACAGCTGATCCGCCCAAGAACTTAGACTCAGGCAGCATGCTGAGCGCACTGTAGCACTCTTACAGTTTTAGGTCACTGATGAATCTGTGAATCAGGCTATTTTAGCCTGGGCAGTCTGTAAAGGTGAAGTCAGACTGAGCTTACCTATTTGTTTTGGAAAGTTCATCTTTTCCCCTCTTAACTCCAAAAATTCTTGTGATCAAGGAACTAAAGAGAAGTGTGGATGAATTTCTCACCTAAAGTAAAAATAAACACAAAGTAAGAGTTAAGAAATAGTTATACCATGAAACCCATTTATAATGTTTAAACTAGATATTCAAAATCATTACCTAACTAGGTGAGGCTAAAGAAAATAAGGTTTATGTTCATGAAAAAAAAAAAAAAAGGCAACTGAGGAAAAAAAAAACTTTCTGATAATTCATTCAATGACTTCCTCTTAAACTGAACCAGCTGTGCAAATCCAATCACATGAATACAACATAGATTTTTCAAATACTAACGGTTTCATCATATATGTGTACACTTCTAAAAGACAAACCGGACTTTTATTTTTCCACATCTTGACACCAGAAAAGACCTGAACTCCTCCTTTTATCTGTGAAGAATACTAGTGAGATTTAACTTTATAGAATCCATGTAATTAAAATCCATGTAATTCAGGATGTTATTTATTAATCGTACAATGTCAACAGCCCACTCAAGTCATTTAACTCTGAAAATTTCTTTTCTTTGTTTATTTTTAATTAATTTATTATTTTTTCCCCCAAGATAGGGTTTCTCTGCATATACAGCCTTGTCTGTCATGGAACTCCCTCTGAAGACCAAGCTACTCTTGAACTCATAGAGATCCATCTTCCTCTGCTGGGATTAAGGGTGTGAACCACCACCACCCAGCCTCTAAAATTTTTTTTATGATATTTGACTAGTAAAAAGTAAATCAACCAGTCACAGTAGCACCAGCCTGTAATCTAAGGAGTTGGCAGGCCAAAGCAGGAGAATCATGAGCTGCAGGCCTGTCTGGATTATATAATGAGGCTATAAAATGCCTTTAAAAAGACAAGGGGGAAATCATGTTGGAGAGATGGCTCAGCAGTCATACAACTGGGTACTTTTGCAGAGAACCCGTGTTCAGTTCCCAGCACCCATGTGATTCCTCACAACCAAACACAACTCCAATTTTAGATCTAATGCTGTCTTTTGACCTCCTTGGAAACCAGGCAGGCAGGCGGTGCACATATATACATGCAGGTAAAACACTCACATAGGTGAAATAAAAAAATAAATCTTTTAAAGAAAGAAAAATTATTATGAATAAAGTATAATTATTACTCCAACATACTAACAGAACCTATCTTTACTAAGCCATCATGTCAAGATCCATCAGAATCCCATGAAAATCCTCACTATCTAATATCAGCCTTCCTTAATTATCTTACAAAATCAGCAAGCACTGAATTATACCAGAACCATGAATAACACTCAGAATCAAAAACTTAAAACTTCTATGACAGAATCTATATTAAAAGTAGGCATTATCATCATAATGTATGTCAACTAGTCATATAAGTGGAGAGATTATCAAAACTAAGAATGTGAGCCAGCAAAACGGCTCAACAGATAAAGGTACTTGCTGCCAAGCCTGACCACATAAGCTCCATACCTGGGACCAAAATGGTAGAAGGAAATGCTATGAAACATTTTCCCATATGTCCTTTGGTTTCTTTAATATCTTGTTTGGATAAATGTATATACTGTTTAGTTGGGTTGTCTTTTTCTTAATAAGTTTTAAATAATCTTTATTTAAAACACAAGGCCTTTCTCATGCTAGGCAAGTATTCTATCACTGACCCATAACCCCAGCTATTACTTTTTTGTTTTGTTCTGTTTTTTAATAAGCTCTTAACAAGTATAATGTGACTGCTACACATGACCTATAAAATTATGTATGCAAGCACACGAAAGTTCGATACATGTTTTGAAGATAACAGTGAAACCATTAAAATTAGAAAGTAGCTTTATGAAGTCATTGCACTAAGAGCCACAGACTCAGGGGTCCAGAGTGGTAACAACAGAGATGGCAGAACACTGTGTCTAGGCCAGTTAATATCCAGCTCAGGCTGACTAGTGACCCCCAGGGAATAGAAGACCAGTGTTGCCAGATCTTCTGTGTTTTTCAAGGGAAGCCAGAAACCCCAACTTTTATGTGAAATCTCACTATTTGGAAATGCTGGCAACAAATTAAAGAAAAGTGAGGCACCATCTTGTAAGCCAAATAAAACTCAGCAGTAGACCACATCTGTCCTAATGGCCACCCACTGCCACCTCTGCTCTAGAAGCGTGAATTGCCAATTCATCCACAATCACCGTGAAAATACACTTTATACCATTCACAGTATAATCCCCAAACTGGACAGAGATCTACACTCAGTGGTCAGCAAATCACAGAGCCCTTGTCATAGCAGTGCCCACTGTCCCCAAGCAGCACTCCATCCATCTGTCACCTGGAAGTTCTACCACCAGGACTGCCTCTGCCTCAGGTCAGATCTAGATTACTTGAATATTTGTTATTTTGTTGTTTTTTAATTCTAATGAATGGCTTTGATTGCATTTCCCTAATGACCAAAGTGCTATTAAACACTTTCCCATGTGTCCATCAATTACTTTAATAACTTCTTTGGGAAAATGTATGTACCTTTTAATTAGGGTGTCTTTTTCTTACTGAGTTTTAAATAATCTTCATTTCACATGCTAGGCAGGTACTCTATCACTGACCTATGACCCCAGCTGTTATTGTTTTGTTTTTTAATAAGACAGGATCTTGTTATGTGACCCAAGCTATCCTCTTGCTTCAGTTTCTCAGGGATTGGGATTATTGATATGAACTTGCCATGCTTGGTCATGTGAACATGGTATTAAACAGGGGTTATATTAGTTATACAGGAAGAAAGAGTTTATTCTGGTCTACAGTTCTGTCATGGTACAGAAGGCAGGTGACAAGAGTAGGAAACTGGCTGGTTACACTGTATACATAGTCAGGAAGCAGAGAATGAACAGAAAGTGAGACAAGGCTATAAAGTTTCAAGACCTGCTCTCAGTGACCACTCCTAAAGGCTCTACCTCTGTAAAGTTCCACAACTTGCCCAAACAGTGACACTATGTGGAGACCCAAGTATTCAAACACAGGAGCCCATGGGGGACATTTCATTTTCACACTTCACAGGGTGTGGAGAGAAGCAGGGGAAAGAAAATGGAGGGTGGTTTACACAAAACCAAAGATATATGAAAAACCTTTATGGAAATCCACCATTTTTTAAGCTAACTTTTAAAATATAGAAATAATTTTTAAAGGACTTTGAGCACAGGTACCCTGCACGGGAAGACAGTGCTTTCCCAGAAGACATGGGTTATTAAAATCTCAGTGCCAGGCATAATATATCTCCCTATGTGTTTTTGGTCAGAAAGGTCACAGAAGTCCCCAAAACAACAAAGGTTAGTGCTATTGTTAGTGCTGTTGTTCTGGTTGTCCACCAGGACTAGAAGGGAAGACTGTACCACTAAAGGTTCAACACATTTTGGTTAAAGGACTCCACAGACTCTGAAAAACATATTAAGATATTAGGAGTTGTTCTGTTTCCAGATCACTGTTACTAGTCACTTTGGAAATACAAATCAAAAGCAGAATGGGAGGGACTAGAGAGTCGGCTCAGCAGTTAAGAGCTTTGCTGCTCTGACAGAGAAGCTGGGTATGGTTCCCAGCTCCCACATGGTAGCTCACGATCATCTGTATCTCCACTTCTAGGAGATCCAATGCCCTCTTTTGACCTCCACAGGCAACAGGTATGTTGTGTGGTGCCCATATATATGTGCAAATGTGCAAACACAAAACATTCGTTCACATAAAACAACAAAAAAGTAAGTCTGAAAAATTTTTAAAACAAAAATGAAATACTATTTCACACTTAATAGAATGGCCTCTCGTTAAACAAAAGGAAAATAATAAGTGTTGTTGATGATGTAGGGAACTGGAGCTTTTCTGCATGGCTGATGTGAATGTAAATGGCTCTGCTACAGTGAAGCAGAATCACCATGGGTTACACCCAAACAAACTGAGAGCCAAGATTAAGACAACTGTTATTTATTGCTTCATCCTTCACAATTAAAAACTTGAAAACAATCTCAATGTCTATCATCAATAGAATAAGGAAAAAAGGTATACTGGCATACCAGAATATTATTCAGCCTTAGAAAGAACAGAAATTTTGATCCATGGTACAACATATCCAAAACATGATTTCACTTATTTGAAGTGTCAGGGAAGGCAGATTCAGAGAGAAAGCTCGGCAGGAGCACAAGGAAGGAAAGAAGGAAAGATGAGGAGTCAGTGAATAGTCACAACAACCCTGCTGTTTGTAATGAAAAGTTCAGGAAATAGGCAATAGTGCTAATATCTCTGTACTTGATGCCACTGAGCTGTATATACTTATAGATAGCTGAAGTGGTAAAGTAAAAAATGATAATGGACTCTTAAAAGAAGTATCAGCCCAGTGTCAATTCACGATAGACTACAAAGAAAACTGCAGCAGGAACAGCCCAAAGACGAGAGAAGAAGAAGCACACTATTAGTAAGTCCTCACACTTTATATGGCATATGTGAAAGACACACAAAATAAAATCATTATCAATTAAAAGCCAACAAAGGAGGGAAAATGGAACCATAAAGGAATAAAATGTAGTCTGATCCAAAAACATCCCCTGAAAAACTTACAAGCTTATAGAAACTCATTATTCAAAAGCATTAACTCAATGGGGACACATGGCAAAAACACTCACTGCCCAGACAGGTGATGTAAAGCCCAGAATTGCAGCCTTTGCTCCACCAGCAACATAAGGAATAATGTTTTCTCCCAGACGTGTATCTCTGAACAAAGCTCTGAGGATATTTAAAGCATGAACCTAGAATGAAAAGTTCAAAAATCAGTGGTGGATTTAAAACTATGGTAATTCTAAATATGTACACAAATTACCAAAGTGGAGAGTTCTCAAATAAAATTGTATATTTAAGAGAATACAGTTAAGAACTGAGGAACTTATAAAATGGAGCAATGCAACCAAAAACCCTTCATCCATTGAACATATGTACAATTCTGTACCTAGTACGTAAGAACAGCAGGTTCTTTCCAAAGAGACATGGAGCATTTAATTTTTAAAAGAGATCCTAAACCCAGCCACAAACAGAATCTCAATAAATATCAACTATTGCTATCTTGTAGATTATGCCCTGATAACAGAGAAACTGGGTAGAAATACTGGTTTACTACTTTTAACAAAAATGCATTTTATTTTGCTTTTTGTTTTTTTTTTCCCCCCAAGACAGGGTTTTGCTGCATAGCCCTGGCTATCCTAGAACTCGGTCTGTAGACCAGGCTAGCCTCAAGCTCACAGGGATCCACCTGCCTCCCTAGTGCGGGTATTGAAACGGTACACCATCACCACCTGGCTGAAATAAATACATTTTAAAATGCTGGTCAAAGAGCTGGAGAGATGGTTCAGAGGTTGAGAGCACTGCATTCTTGCAGAGGACCCAGGTTCAGTCCTCACAAGGTGGCTCACAACTCTACTAACAACTTGCCTAATTCTAGTTCCATAGGATTTAACAGCCTGCTTTGACTTCCATAAGAGCCAGGCACATACACTGTGAATATACAAACAGGCAGTCAAGGCATGCATACACATAAAATAAATAATTATTGAAAATATTAAGCAATATTCAAACATTTTTAATATTTATAGTTGAATACTACTTCTATACGTTGACACTGTATAATGTACTAAATAAATCTTAAGAAAAGAAACATATACTTTAAATATGTATCTTCAATGGCCCTATTTAAAAATAATAAAAAATGAATGCTACATGTCCACTTAATATGACAGTAAAACAATACTCAAAACAAAAGGAAAATAAAGTTTTAAATTGTTTTTAAATAGAAGAATCACAATGAAGACCTAATGAAGGCCCTATGGCAATGGAGACCAGATTCAGGCTTTGCATGCACTAGTTAAGGTCTAGGCCACACAGCTACATCCTAAGAACAAAAGTTGATTTTTAAAATCAGGCTTCTCACAACCCTGACAAGGAAGATAGAAGTCACAAATAAGCAATAGTATTGATGCCCAAGAAGCTAATCCTACTAAAAGGTATTTACCAGAGATGACAAGGTACACATATGACTTTCTATCTCGTGTGGAGAACAGTTGTGAGGAGTGTCTCACCCAACTGCATATACACAGCAATGATAAGGAATTAAAATATTGCTTAAAAATAAAATGTAATACTGAAATTCCTACATCACATTTTAAAGAAAGATTCAATTGTTCAACTACAAAATGTACATCAACTCAAAGAAGCACACATGAAATTCAAGTGTGACTACATAATCATTTTCAGATTTTTAGGTACAATAGTAACGCTGTGAAATATGTTGTCAAATGAATATTTTCAACAGTTTTAAAGTTATTCACTTTCATCACGACATATCAACCACGGCAAGTTTATTTTGTGACTAGGAAAGACCAAAAAAGAGAGAAAACAAAAAAAAAAAAAAAGCAAAACTAAGCCAAACCTTCTAAATGTGTCACAGTAATCTGTCTTCAGGAGTTCTAATCTTTAGCAGGTTCTTTAAAGAAGTAAAGGTAGAGCAGAGACTTAACTCCTTCCTTCTGTCCTTACCTGGGGGACTCTGCCCTTTGAGTCATCTGCAGACAAAGCCAAGGAGATCAGCTCCCCCATAGTTATTTTCAACAAGTCTGTTCTACCCTTCTTTGGTTCAGATGCCAACAATGCCTGTGGGGGAAAAAAAATCCCCAAATCAAGGGGCTTTTATTTTGCACACACCTAGTTGTTGGCTTTGGAATTAATCCCCAAGTTTAAAATACCCTCTATTAAAAACAAGACTACTGAAGTAAGTTAATTAGGTCAGGCTGCTTTAACCAAGTAGCTTAACTTCTCTAGCCTGTTCATATGTATAAAATTAGGTTAAGGTGAAATCATGTCAACTCCACAACCCCTTCTGTTTGTTGGTTAATTAGATAATAATAAGCAGCTGATGAATAAATGGTTCTGCTTGACCACTTTGTAAGGACCAAAATTAGGTAAATCAGATACAATAAGCAAGGCACTTTCAGAGGTAAGTTGATCAAATAAGAAAATTTTCGTTATTTAAACAATGACAAAAATATACTGAATTAGATTTCATCTAAAGGTTTCCAGGCCCTCTAGAGACTGATCAACAATTAAATCACTGATCACAGAAGAGTCTACTGAAAGTCTAATCACACCACAGCATTTGAAACACCACTGAACAAAAAGAAACATTACAAACTCCAAAAGGATTGTGCATTTGGATTTCAAAGGAGGTCTTATTTACTGTGTGACTAGCTTCCCATAAACAATAATGGGCTATCAGCCCACTTGAGACAGTGCAATAAAAATGAACGAAGTACTGACCTGTGTGACAACATGAAGGAACTCTGAAAATACACTGCTAAGTGAAAGAAGCCAGATACAAAAGACTGGATACTGTATGATTCCATTTAAGTGAAATGTCCAGAACTGACAAATCCACAGTGACAGAAAGATTAGTAGGTTGCCTAGGGCTGGGAACAGCAGCAGAAGGAGGTGGGGTGGCATGGGGAGTCATTCCAAAATTAGATTGTGTTAATGGTCCTCAAGCTGAGAATCTACTGAAAATCACTGTGTTGCATGCATTAAATGCATGAACTGTCCACAGGTGAATTATATCTCAATAAAGCTGTCAAAAGCACTTCAGTCACATTCTTGGACTCTCTTCCTTCACATCTATGTCTTGTAAAACGTTGCTTCTGGCTTCTAGAGACAAAGTTTGGAACTACTTTGCATCATCTAAATCAATGACAAGCTATGCAATAAGAATATACAAGACAAACATGTAAACAGGCTTAAAATAAATTAATCACAATATACTTATGCTCAGAAAACATGCTCTATAAATGTTAAAAATAATTTTGTCTGTTTACACAAAGGGGAAACTAATATACTATAATGGTAGTATTTTGCCACAGCTAACTTTAAACTGAAGTTGTCAGCAGAACAAAAGGTATTACTTTATTTGTAAGTCATATTAAGAAAAAATAGGATCCTTTTGAACAGATTTTTTTCTGATAATTAAAGCTTTATTCCATTAAGATAAAAAAGAAACCTATATTCAATGACTAGGAGGTGTTGTTCCCAGAAACATGACTTGTCTCACTTCAGCCCCAAAGAACTGGGCAAACAATAGTATGGCAATGTTGCCTGCTGGGCTTAGAAAATAGACTTGCTGATCACTCCATAACTATGACCACTGGGTAGCAGAAGGTGACTATCTCAGCAGGAATAAGCATATAACACAAATATTGGACAGGACATTTAGGTGCCTGATATCTGTCCTCAGAAAAGAAGGCCACATGAACACAGCAGGTCTGCAGAAACTGCAGATAGAAAACTAAACCACACTCAACCAAAGTAGCTCAACTTATTTCTCAGGCCTACCTAGTAATCTCAATCACTTCTACCACTGGGCATCAAAAAGTCATGAAGAGATTGGGAGTATGAAAAGAAAACAGAGAAAGAAAAAACTACAAGGGTACTAAAAGAGGCTACCTTACTTCCACTGCACGTATTATACTACCCATTTTGTGGATTTTGTCTTACTATAAACAAGATTGGCATTTGATTTAGTATTGTGAGTGTACTGGTGTTTATTCTTCAGGATAATGAAAGCAACAGTCTCTAAGTCTCTATCTTGTAAGGTAGAACTACTTTAAAAAGGAAGAGGTCACCCATGTTTTCACCTGTGTTTAGGAACTGTATTCATATATAGTCTCACATGAAGATGTGGTCAGGGGTCAGATGGACTAGGCTTAAGCCTTAGCAAGTTTGACATCCCTGTAGCCTTTGGCAAGTCACCTCTATATCCCCAGTCTCATGTAGGATATCTTGGTATGATAGCTGTACCTATCTCATAGAGTTTAGGTAGGAATTAAATGATGTAATAAACGTGACCTAGCCACACTGCCTGAGAGCTACTAATAAGACTGTGATGTTTTTTAGGCTGTGTGGTAGTGGCATACTCCTTTATTACCAGCACTCAGGAGGCAGAGGCAGGCTAAGCTCTTCGAGTTTGAGGCCAGCCTGAAAGTGAGTTCCAAGATGACCAGGGCTACACAGAGAAACTCTGTCTCAAAAAACAAAACAAAACAAACAAAAGAGTAAAATTTTTTATGATGGATAATAGAAGGACTCAAATATGGATACTTCCTAAAAGTAAGTACATTGCACCCACAGTGATTTCCAACCACTGAACGCACAGATGGAAAGCTATACTACCCTCTGTTTATATTACAAGACTGATCTCCTGCTCCAAGAACATATCTGACACAGAACATACTGTCTACACATTAAAACAAAGTCTCACAGGAGACAGAGAGTGGCACAGCCAGCAATGGTGCTTACCACCAAACGTTAACAACCTCAATCCAATCCCTGAGATCTACATGATGGAAAGAAAGAACCAACTCCAGAAAGTTGCCCTCTGAACTCTATGTGTACCATAGCATGTATTTGCCTAGACACACACATAAATAATTAAATGTAATAAAAAATAAAAATAACAAAGTCACAGATGCTATGGTACTGAAAAGACAGAAACATCTAAATCTGTTTACTCACACATTAAGAAGAGAAATGCAGTATCAAAACACAAACAGACCGGTGCCTGCCCTTAGAAGAGTACCTGTATGTAGAAAGGAAGTCCAGCACTACGCCTTGTAGCACAGAGTTTGGATGAAGGATTACTGCTTTTAATTTCCTCCAAAACATTCCACAACCACTGCTCCGGAAGCTTTTGCAGACTCACATTAGAGCACCTAAAAGGTACAAGCAAATGTTTGGAATTATCAGGTACTAAAGGGTAAAAGTACACACTAATGATATACATGAACACTTTTATAAAGAATAAACATTTTCTATTGAGAAGGCTAAAACTAAAAAGTGTCTTACCACAAGGGATCCCTATGCTATCACACACCTATTCTATCTGCCAGTCTCACAGTCAGCCTGATGAAATCTAGAATCACCTGAGATTTGCTTCCTTCCAGGCATACCTGTGAGGGACTGGAGAGATGGCTCAGTGGTTAAGAGCACTGACTGCTCTTCCAGAGGTCCTGAGTTCAATTCCCAGCAACCACATGGTGGCTCACAACCATATGTAATGGGATCCAATACCCTCTTCTGATGTGTCTGAAAACAGCTACAGTGTACTCACATACATAAAATAAATAATTAAAAAAAAAAGAATGAAATTTTTCTGGAAAGAGGCAAGATATGTTAAAAGTTTATCTGAACACTATCAAAAGATGCTCTTAAAATTGTGTGTGTGTGTGTGTGTGTGCGCGCGCGCGCGCATGTGTGCAAGTGCTTGTGCATACACAACAGGCAGGAATGCCTTGCAGAGAGTCAAAGGACAACTCTCAGGAGTCTCTTCTCTCCTGCTACCTTGAGGAATCTGAGGATCAGAGTCAGATCTATGTGTAAGCTCCTCTAGCTGCTGACCATCACACTGGCCCATCAGAAAACTTGCGCTATTGTGTTAGCATTCGCTAAGAGGCAGCATACTCAATAGCAGGCAAACAGCCACCATGGAAAGAAGGCAGTCTGACTTAAGGGAAGTGATGCTAGAGGTTAGACGTGAGCTTCACTGCAACAGGCAAAGGCTCTACTGCAGAGCTAGAGCCCGGTCCTTTTCCAGTTCTTATTTTGAGAAAGGTCTCAATAAGTTGCCCACTCAAGCCTGGAATTTGGCAATCCCATGACTCAGCCTTTCCAAGTAGAAATTAAAGACCAGGTCCTGCTTAACTGAAATTAACACCGTAAAATAAACAGATATCAAGTTGGAAAATGCTTTTATTTTAAGCAGAGGGAAAAAATCATCAGAAAGACAGCTGGCTGTAATTTGGAGCAGGAGTTACACCTTAAGACACACATTTGGGATTTGTTTTTTCTTTATTCTGTTGAAGAACAGACTGAATAAATATTCTGTCTGACTAAATATTCCAAATACTAACTGAAATTTAAAAACACATTTCACACTGACATAAAAATAGAACTAATACTACTTAAAATAAGTGATTTTAAACCTTGACATGAACACGAGGGGAAAAAATCTGAATCAGAAGACTAAGAAAGAGGCTTAACAACAAACTCCAATGTGACAGCCTTGTTTAGACCTTGATTAGAACAAATACAATGTAAGAACAATATTGCCAAATAACATAAAAATGTGTAGATGTTCCAGACACAGCAGACAGCAAGGATGGAACAGTGGCACTGGACATGAGGAAAGGTGCCCACATTTTAAGATACACATACAGAAAAGCACAGGCATAAAATTGACAAACCAAGACTAATTATTTTAATACTTCAATAACTACCATGCAAAGATACAAAGCACATGTGGCGAAGTCTGATAACTATTGGATCTCAGCAATAAATAAATAAAGGCAATTTGATATATTCCTCTTTCTATTTTTAAACATGGTTTACATGTATATACATACATATACACACATCTCTATTGTAAGGATTAATGTTGCTTCTTCCTCTATCATTTTAAAGATAAGTGTCCTACCTTGGCAGTACTGAGGAGGAAGCCTGGGCCTCCCACCAGGGAAACAGCCTTCCAGTAAGCTTCATTCACAGCCACAGCTACTAATTTCTTTAGCTTATATAAACATTACCAACTTAGAGGCCCAAGAGATGGTTCAGCAGTTAAGAGCACATACTGCTCTTTTAAGAGAACCTGAATTCAGTTCCCAGTACCAATGTTGGGTGGCTCATAATCCTTGAGCTCCAGAGGACTCAGTACCCTCTTCTAAACCCTGAAGGCACCTGCACTCACGAGTACATAGTCACACATAAACACAGAAATAAACATTAATAAAACTAACTTGGTAAAATCTTTCGTTTCTCTAAAAAAAAAAAAAAATCAAAAACCTCCAGACACCACAAAGCAATTATTTAAGTGCTAACAACACAGGAATAGCTTAGGCTGCTGCCTTCTCTAAGCTCTTTTCATTATTAAAAACAGGAAGAATATATATGGGTTAGATTAGCTCACAATAAGTAGGCAAGGATATTTTAAAAAACTAAATCAAAAGGTTGTGTGTGTGTATGTTTATGTTCGTGTGTGAATATGTTGGGAGTTACATACAAAAGTTAAGAAAATCGCTTTTACAGTGATTTGATGTAGAATTATCTGTGAATTTCATTTTCTTGCATTTTCTGCTCCATTAAAGAACTGGCTTAAAGGCAAGGCTGCAGTCTAGGGAAGGCATAGTCTCCTGAACCCACTACACAGAGAGACAGGAAGAAACAAAATGCAGGAATGACAGGAGCTTTTTGTGTTCCTATTGAATCACTGTAAGCACTAGTATATGGCACAAGCACAGTGAGATTTCTCTACACAACATCTCCTATGCCTTCCTGGGCTGGCAAATGAAGGTCACAGAAGCCAGGCAGATCTTTAAACCAAGTATCACCCTATGTGACAACTGTTCTACACCACTAATCAATGTTGATTTAAAAAACAATATTCTCCTTAATTTGGATGGCCACATATAACTTTGGTACTTTAACTTGACCAATTTCTACACAGACATTGTTTTAATAAGGTTCTTGCCTTTGCTGGCTTCTACAAGAACATACAACACACACACCAAATATGCACACAAGCCCCTATTTCCAACTAAGCATCTGTGTAGTCTCTACACACACTCCTCTTCATCAGCATTGATAAACTTTTCTAACTTCTATGGAGCAATTACTAGGCACAGGTGTACAGAGGGTTAGTGGTGTCCTGGAGGCAACAAGATAGAAGCTAGACTTTGAAAGAATGGCGAAGAGCCTGCACGGTAGGTTGCAGAAAGCAGGAGATGACCAGGGAACAAACATTAGCCAAGGTCCCAAAGACAATTCCCTCATTTAGACTCTTGACTATTTGAACTGTAAACACTTAGCCAGGCCTATTTATTCCCTTGGGTATTACATACTAAGGACCAAATGTTCCTTATTAATTTGGGGATTTCCAAAACAGGACCAGAAGAATGTTCTACAAGTTTACAGCTGGCAAAGTATCCTCAAAAGAGCCCCCTGTGCCCACTGAAGACCCAGCAACCTCAGGAAGGAGCTCCGAGAAATGCTCAGGGCATTCACTCCTGCCATTTAGTCCAGACCTTGTTCTGCTCTGGAATTCCCCAGCATGAAGCCAGCTCTTCTGAAGAATTCTCTGATTGGCTGGTTTCCAGTCTGGGCTTTGCTGCTGAACTCTCTAATTCTCTTGCTTCCTAGCTCTGCTTTTCTCTTGGACCAGACCTCCCACCCCAAAGTCATATAGGAAAATCTCATTCAACGACATAACTCTCACTTGCTTCATTCATATGAAACACACAGTAATTTAAACAAAACATACTGAAAATATATTTGCCTGCTACAGTGAACTCATTTATTGCATGTCTGTTATGCATTCAGCATACCAAGCTCCACACATCTGATCTGCCATCATTCTTGGAACAAACGCAGGAGCAAACATTGTTTCCTGACAATGCAAGGATGAACAGTGGTTAAGACCACCAACTAGGAAGTCAGGATGGACAAGCATCTAAGTAGATGTTTAGGCATACCAACTATAGAGCCAAGTTACAAGACCCATCCTGTCTGTGCCATATAAAAGCTCTGTGATCAAGGATAAGTTATAGAGCTCTACTTCCCATTTTTCTCTTCCATCACAATAATGTGGTTACAAATGAGTTTACCTTGGAGCATCCTTAAGAAGTTCTTCAGGGAACTTTATAAAACCATTACCTGATTATGAGAAATTTAAATTAGATACAACAATTGACTTACATTTAAAGGTATCCTCCTACACTGACACAATACCCCCTACTCATAACACCCAAAATATACAGAAGGAAGCCCTAAAACCAGTTCAGCTGAAGAATAAGATAACCACAGGGAGTTACATGAAGTGAGACTGCTGACACATGAAAGCAGTTACAGCACGGCAGATTTTAAAAGCAGCAGTGGTGGCCAGAGTTGGCTTCTGTGTGGTAAACAACCAGTCTCTCCTCCAGGGAAGGGAATTTCAGTGGCTTCCTCTTCCATGAGAGGCTACAGCTGGAGCTATAGACCAGAGAATCCATAAGCACAGGGAACTCTGAAGCACACTGTCTACCAGCTTGTTAGTTACATCTGTGATCTTCCAGTAGGACTAGGAAGAGATGGACCAAACGACAATATCTGATTTATCTCTTCAGAGATAGAATCCAAATAAGTGACAAAGTAATTAAAAGGTTCCTAATTATAGGCAAGAAACCAAATCTCACAACACAAAAACATTTTACATATATACTAAAAATAACTGGAACATAAATTGACTCTAAAAGCAATTTTATAGGGCAGACTGACAAAGACCTTCCTATAACTTGGCTTTAGTATGCTAAAGAAACACTGATGGAATGATGTCTTCTTAAGCAGTATGGGAGAGCTGGGGTATAGTTCAATGGTAGAGAGGGCCTGCATAGTACAGGCCAGGCCCTGGGTTCAATACCTTACGACAAAGGAGAAAAACACAGAAGGAATATTTGGCTGCCAGGTATGGTACACACCTGTAATCCCAGAATTTGGAAGATAAAGGCAGAAGGATCATGAATTTGATCAGCTTTGGCTACACAGTAAGTTGGAGGCCATCCTTTGCTACAAGAAACTCTTAATTTTTTTTTAAATTCAAGAAATTTTGAAAAACAAAGTGTTGAAAAAAGAAAACAGGCACATATAAAAATACTAGAAATATTCTGTATCAAAGTATAGTTTC